GGGTACCAAGCTCCTCACTAATGCATGTAAACTATTGAAAACCATTTATATTTTTAACAAATTAAAGAATACTAAATCCTAATATGTAATTCTAAACCATCACAAATGCACGTAAAGTATTCAAAACAATACATTTTTTTTTCTCCATCACTAAATCTTGTACTCATCTTTATCCTTGTCCTCTTAGCAATTGCACATATGTTTCGAACAATAATGAATCATAGAAAAACGAAATTCATAGATGGATTACAACAATGACCATTAGTTTAAGAAATCGTGGACGAAAATTCTTCAGTCATTGACAAACAATTTGTTGGACACTGTATTACTAATCGTTGTTTCTTTCCGAAAGCTCTTCGCGCGGGATTTTTTTTAATAAATGTTTTTCATTTTAAAATTGTTGGCCATTAAAATACAAATCTTTTACTTGTTGTCTTTCAGTATACATGATGTAGAATCGTTATAGAAAAAAATTAACATAAGTTAAACTAACTTAAACATTCGAAGTTATCTAATTGCACTTAGGTAATATGAAATTAAAAATCTCGATGATTATAAGCTAACATGTTATTTTAGAGTCCAATATCTCTCAATCATAAAAAAACACATATTCATCCAAATGTTTGACGTAGAGTCACAAAGATTATGTTTTTCTTTGAAAAATATCGAGAATGGCAGAATGGTATTAAACTTATTGTTGAGTAAGCTTTTCTTATATTTAAAATCCAAAAAAATTCATTTGAATTTATATATTTTAGCCAAATAAATTCATATTAAAATCAATTTCCAAAATATAAGATCATAAAATTAAATTATAAGTATGATAACTTTGATTATTTCTTTTTGATGTAGTTATTGATAAAAAATTTATGTAAAAGCTTTTCTATTGTCTTAAAGTTATAAAAGCAAAACAAAATTAATTAGTTTTTCAAATTAATTTTAAGTACATGCGGTTCTAAACAGATACAATAAAACATAAGTAGCGACGACCTTTTTGAGAGAAATAGCAAACATTAGACTAAACTTTGTTTAGTGAGTGGTGGAGAGAAAAGTGCCCATAATTATTCTGGTGGTTATGTTAGTTGTATTCGTGACTTGGCCGCATAAGAACGCACTCTTCCAACCGACAAGTAGCAGATTTGAGTTGACAATGAGGGCTAAATTTTCTGCATTAGCTTTTGAAAAACTAAAAAAATAATTTCAAAATAATCCACATTTTAATACAAAACACATATGTGTTTAAATAATATTGGATAAAAAGCCTTAAATCTTCATATGAATGATCAAAACAGTAATCATAGTCAGTAAAAAAGGAAGAGGTAACCAAATTGACACTAAGAGAAACCAAAAAAAAAAACTAAAGAGACGAGCATAAAGACTCATTACCTGGCCTATATCAATATAATATATGCAAAACAAATATATATAGCAATTTGCAAGAAAAAGAATTAAATCTTTATGTGAATCTAATAACATAAAAATAGAAAAAAACAGAGATCTTAAGTTCTTAGCTCTCTTAATAATTGTTGTCTCTTTTGATATTTTTTTTTATCGTTAGAGAAATCTTCAATAAGCTCAACAATAGAAAAAACAGAGACCTTAAGTTCTTAGCTCTCTTCATAATTGTTGTCTTTTTTGATATCTTCTTTTATCGTTAGAGAAATCTTCAATAAGCTCAACATTAGAAACGTGATCAACTTTTTCTAAGATGAAAAATCTAAGCATAAACTTTAAAGTATTCATATGAAACAGAGAATGATATATGGAACCAGAGAAGAGGAAGAAGATTAAGTTAGAATACAAAAACCTAAAAAATAGCAAAATTAATCATGAAAACGTGTTGCAAAACAGTGTATCAAAATGTTTTCTTGCATAAGTTTCAAGCCAAGGCTGCATGCATATTTTATTTCTAACAATCACAAAGAAACCACTAACATTTAGACTTTGGAGTTTAGATATTATTGTAAGGATTTTATAAGAATTGTTAGTAACTCCATGCGCAATGATGAAACAGAGCTTTAACTACCGTACACCTGCTTCCAAAAAGCAATAAAATCCGATACAATTTAGGCGTAAAATCCAAGAAAGTAGTAATAATAATAATAAATAAACCATGCACTCTTCAACCGTTCAGTATATAGGATTGTATTTTTATGTGATTTCAGTCTTTGGCTTAGTTGAACTAGAACTATTGGCTTCTAAAGTAAATAATAACCTTCTCTGCTAGCTAGCTTGCTATTCTCATATCTTATGATACAAATATGATAATATCGAGATTGTATATTCTAAAATATGCTTGTTGCAAAAAAATTCACAACTAAGTTTCGTATTTTTAATTTTTTTTTCCATAAAAATATTAAATAATGTTTGATTTAATATTAAAGAGTAGCTTTCTTT